CAGGGCCAGGGTGACGAGTTACCAGGTCTCAGCCATGGCCCCGTGGGCACAGGGCCGGTGTGACGAGCTGACGGGTCTCAGCCGCAGCCCCGCAGCAGCCGGCACAGGGGCAGTAGCACCAAGGACCCACACAGGTTCCCACCGCAGTGACTTGGGAGGGGGGGAAAAAGGGGGGCCGCCAGCGGCACCTCAGTGCTGGCGAACAGAAAAAAAAGGCAGAACGCTAAGAAATGGGACGTCCCCTGCGGTCGCGGCCCTACACGGTGGTCTCGTACTCCAGCAGCTCCTGCGGGGCGCCGGGCGTGCGGTACTGCAGGCGCGGCGTGCTGGGCGCCGCGTGCCCCAGCGCCAGGATGGTCTTGCGCAGGCGCCGGTCGATGAAGTGGGCGTCCCAGGCCGGGTACTTCTTCCTGGGCAGGTCTATGCGGATGACGGGCCCCCCCCAGACGGGGGCCCGAACATGGGGCCGTTGGGGTGCAAGAGGCAGTAGTAGATGAACATGAAGAAGATGCCGAGGGCGAAGCTGGAGCTGACCACGCAGACGAGGATTAAGGCGTCAAAGTCGGACGTGGTCTTGCGGTCATAGTAGAGGAACCAGAGGACGGTGAGGGCAGCGTTCTCCGACAGCGTGATCACGTAGTAGATGCCCATGCGGTAGCGGCTCCGTCCCTCCTTGACGTTGAACCAGCAGAAGATGTAGATGATGCCCACCACCATGTTGTAGATGATCTCCTCCCACTTGGACATGCAGAAGTCCGTCTCGCCCTGGATGATCCAGAAGGTCATGATGCACCAGTGGGTGACGATGAAGATGCCGAAGTAGAGCTGGAACACGGAGGCGAAGAGGGCGAAGGCGATGGCACGGGCGGCGATGGTGAAGAGGTGCCACAGGATCTGCACCACGGCGCCCTTGTAGGACATGGGCATCTTGTCCTCCCGCGAGTCCCGCAGCACCTTCTGGTAGGAGGCGATCATCCAGGCGAGGGAGAGCAGCGAGGCCGAGGCCGAGAGCCCTGCGGGCACAGGGGGAGAGGGGCCGTGACAGCGGGGGACACCGTGGCGGGACAAGAAGGGCTGGGGGCTCCGTGGCGGGGCCTTACCCTGCAGCGGCTCCACGCTGTTCTGCTGCACCATGATGCTGAGCTGCAGCACGAGCTGCGGCGCGCTCTTCAGGAAGGTCTCCAGCAGGCGCAGCATGCTGATGTCGGCGCTCTCGAACATCATGCGCCAGTAGAAGTGGCGCTGGCGACGCTCCGTCTGCCAGCGGCTCTGCAGGCCCAGGTAGAGCGTGCGCAGGTACCTGCACGAGGAGGGCACAGAGACGTGAGCCGAGCACGGGGACGGTGCCAAGCACAGGGATGACGCCGAGCATGGGGATGACGCTGAGTATGGGGATGATGCTGAGCATGGGGACGATGCCGAGCACAGGGACAATGCCGAGCATGGGGACAATGCCGAGCACAGAGCCAATGCCAAGTGCTGTGACAATGCCAAGTGCGGTGCCGATGCTGAGTGTGACACCCCGTCCCAGCAGGGCTGGGCAGCTGGGGGGTCCCCGTGCCCATGCAGGACACGGGTGCCAGCCGCTCCCGCGCCCCGCT